TATGAATTCATCCTTAGACTCATTCAGCTTAGTTCTTCTAAATTTCAATATAAACTCCTTCCTATCTTTGGCTCATTTTAAACAAATGAGTGGAAACTCCATCACAGAATTCTTAAGAATTATTTGAACTATATTATGATAAAATGATGAATGCAAATCTGATCCCACCATAATACAGATGGATAATTTGAATTATACCTTGTGGCTATCTACTGTCAGATTTACATTTGATTCTAAGATTGTGTTCTATGTGAAAATACAAATGTGTAAAGATAAGTATATACATAAAGATTTACAGGATCAAGATTTATAGTATCAAAAGAAATCAGTATCATTGGGTCTGAAATTTTGGATGGATAGCCTTTCACATCTATAATCCTGTAAACATTTGCTTATTTGAATCAAGCCCACATCACTGAAATCAAATTATTTAAATTATTCAAGATCTAAATGTGCTAAAATCCATGCGGGTCCTTTTTGCAGTTAGTTTATGCCTATTAGGCATTCCAGCCAGCAGTAAAGAAGAAAGCATCTGGGTACTTGCCAGCTAGAGAACAGCATTGTGTTTAGAGATCAAAAGCAATAGAAAGAAGGCATTCATGTTTATGGGCTCACGTTTGCATGACAACATTTTTTTTTCCTTGTTATTTAGAGTTGAAGCTATGAAGATTCCTTTGAAGAAGAAGAATTCTAAATACAGAAATATTGATGATTAACCTTTTACTCCACTAAGCTAATAGTAATCAAGTCATACATTTTGGGTTACAGCAATATATATATATATTTTCCCCCTTGCATTCTCTCTGTTATACACATTAAATATATATAAATATTTACAATAAAAAAATGCCTGTCAGTGAAGTGACTACTCATCACAGGCCAAAAAAATTCCATGAAAACTCCTTTATCATGGACTGTGTGAGTCATTTAAAACAAATGAGTAGTTATAATACAATAATTCTCTGATATCTAAAAATTTAATTAAGATTTTTGGGCCAAGATCCCTTTTTTTAGAGCCTTTTTAAAAGTAGTTTCAAAGTTCAGGTTAAATTAACAGATAATCAAGGAAAAAAATAAATTATTGGATAGGGACATAGTTCTGTCTTGTAGCCTGTCCTTCCTCTGAAAAATCCCTTTCATTATCTACACAAGCAGTGATACACATTCATGGAATGATACTGTCTGTGCTACTTGCTTCACATGCAAGGCAAGTAAGCTCAAAGGGACCCATCTGGTTGCTGGTTGATGATGAAGACTAATGCCACAGAAATTGAACCCAGATCCTGCAATCTGAATGGTGCTCTGAGCAGATCACCATTCCATCAGAAGTATCTCCTGCTTCCAGTCCTGGAGTCTTCATGAACTCCCAAAAGGAAGCAGTACCAAACTATTTAATCACCCCTAAAACCACATATATATTCTCCTAATGTGGCTGAAACTATTTGTTGTGATTTCCAGTGGGGAAATGCTACCTCTCTGTTATTTTAAGAGATCTACCATAAGGAGAGTTCAGATCTTGATGAAGATTCTGGTTTTTGTATTCATAAGAAAAAATATAATGATAATAAGCACAAAATTGCAGTAATGATAACAATAACTGTAATAGGAACAGCAGCGGTGATTTACTGTGGTGATTTATCACTGATGATGTGGGTAATAATAGTAATAGCCATTTCCCTGTGAAAAATTCTGTAGAAAATACGTGCTTCAGAATCAGATCCTTTGTTAGTCTTGAAAATCAGCAGTATCATACCTGCATATATTTTTAAGTATTTACTGAGAGCTGAATAAACACAGAAAGAAAAAATAAAGTAACCTGTTTGAACTCGAGCTTATCTGAAATTTAACAGGCCTTTTTGGCCTGTGTTCTTGATACGCATGCAAAAACTGTGACAGTGTTAATGGAATGTTAATATATTCGTAAAAGACTGAGAGAGTTGCCTTTGAAACTGTTTGAAATGAAACAAAAAAAAAAAAAAAAAAAAAAGGAGAAAGAGAGAGTGGGAGAAAGGAAAAGGGCTAGAGCAGGGGAAATAAAAAGAAACAAAGAGAGAAATGAGGATGGACAGAAGCAGTTTGATTGTGCAGTTGTAGAAATTCCCTAAGGGGCAGGACAGAAAGACTACGAAACAGCTCTTTCCCTTTATCATGCAAGCAATTACCGGCAATTTGTTCTGGCCAGTAAAATTTCTGATATTATCATGGTTGCTGAGTAATTTATCATCAAAGTTTAATGTGAAAACAGGTGACTGTGTAATCACCAATCTAGGAACAGAAATAGAATCGTTATTATTTCTGCCCGAAGAGAAGGCTTTTTCCTTCTTTTTTTCTCTTTCTGTCAATTGACTTAATGGCCAAAAGGCTGTTCGTCATATCATCATGAATTATAAAACCTCTATTAAATATTCATAAAAGTTTTGAAATGAATGTGCGATAGAGATCAAAGCCAGGCTAATTTAAATACCTACCAGACCTGTCTTAATTACAGAGGTAAAATGAGAAATAAAAATTATAGCAGTCACGAAAGGGGAAAAAAAAAAAAAATGTGGAAATGGTACATTCTGTGCATTACATGCTTTTACTCTTTAAGCAGTGAGATGTAAACATGTACACGAGTTGAATTGTGCAGATCTACTGAAATAAATCATTTTTTAGTTCTATTTTGTTTACACACATGGGATTTATTGGCTTTCTCTTACACTTACACTGAGAACTTGTTTCCTGCTATATGCTTTTGTGAGTTTGTGTGAGCATGTGTAAGGAAATTCTTTAATTAATTTTAAAATAATGATAAAAACTAAACAATCATGAGCACCTGCAGGTGCGAGGCTAGAACAGAGTATGTAGTTAAAAGTAAAAATATGTAAGTTCTTGCTCTGATAAATAACTATGTCCCTGCTAAGCCTTCTGGCCTTTATCAGACAATAAGCAGAATATTCAAGCATGGAAATTATGAAATTTTTGGGGCAGAGGAGACCTAAGCTTAATGATTTTGAACATTCTTTAACAGGTGCTTGAAAGAGCTGATATTATAACTGCACAGTGCAGTGCAGAATCAGGCCTTTGTTTCGTGTGAATACTGAGAGGTGCTTGTCAGCTGCACATAGCCAAACTTTCATCAAAGAAAAATCATATAACTCTTGAGCGAGGGCTCAGAGAGAATATGCACTGCAGAGCTAGCCAGACAGACTGCAATAACAAGGCAAGGATTCCTTTCACATGGATTTAAACTACCATTTTATTTATGTTTGCTGTTAATATGTGCACCAAGATGTCTTCTGTTGTTTGTATAGAGAAACCATGTTTTCTAATGCATGATTTGTTGCGTCTTACAGTTGTTAACTAGATCTTTTATAAAGAGGACTGACCTCAATTGCAGGGTTATTGTACCAGATTTGTGAAGACAGAGTTCAGATTTGTTGTAGATACAAAGAAGTATAATGTGTCATAGTAGCTACAGTTTGGTGAGTAAGAAAAACAAAACATATTAAAACATTTTGACCTTTTTAGAATCATAGAATCATAGAATCATAGAATCATCAAGGTTGGAAAAGACCTAAAAGATCACCCAGTCCAACCATTCACCTATTCCCAATAGCTCCTACTAAACCATGTCCCTCAACACAACATCCAGTCTTTCCTTGAACACCCCCAGGGTCGATGATTCCACCACCTCCCTGGGCAGTCCATTCCAGTGCCCTACCACCCTTTCTGAAAAGTAATACTTCCTCATGTCCAGCCTGAATCTCCCCTGCCGTAGCTTGAAACCATTCCCCCTGGTCCTATCACTAATGACACAAGAGGCCGACCCCCAGCTCACTACAGCCTCCCTTCAGGAAGTTATAGAGAGCAATGAGGTCTCCCCTGAGCCTCCTCTTCTCCAGGCTGAACATTCCCAGCTCCTTCAGCCTCTCCTCATAAGCCCTGTGTTCCAGACCCCTCACCAGCTTTGTTGCCCTCCTTTGAACACGTTCCAAGGCCTCAATATCTTTCTTGCAGTGAGGGGCCCAAAACTGGACACAGTACTCGAGGTGCGGCCTCACCAGTGCTGAATACAGGGGAACAATCACCTCTCTGCTCCTGCTTGCAACACTGTTTCTGATGCAAGCCAGGATGCCATTGGCCTTCTTGGCCACCTGGGCACACTGTCGGCTCATGTTGAGCCGAGCATCAATCAATACCCCCAGGTCCATTTCCTCTACGCAGTCCTTCAGCCACACCGCCCCAAGCCTGTAGCGTCGCCTGGGGTTGTTGTGGCCGAAGTGCAGGACCCGGCATTTGGCCTTGTTGAAACTCATCCCATTGGCTTCAGCCCAGCTCTCCAGCCTGTCCAGATCCCTCTGTAGGGCCTCACTACCCCCAGGCAGATCCACACTTCCAGCCAATTTGGTGTCATCTGCGAATTTACTGAGGGTGCACTCCATGCCCTCATTGAGGTCATCAATAAAGATATTGAAGAGGACAGGCCCCAGCACCGACCCCTGGGGAACACCACTCACAACCGGTCGCCAGCTGGATTTGACTCCATTCACCACCACTCTCTGTGCCCGGCCCTCCAACCAGCTCCTTACCCAGCCAAGAGTGTATCCATCCAAGCCTCTGGCTGCCAGCTTCTGCAGGAGAATGCTGTGGGAGACAGTGTCAAAGGCTTTGCTCAAGTCTAGGTAGACCACATCAACAGCCTTTCCCTCATCCACCAGATGGGTCACTAGATCATAGAAGGAGATCAGGTTGGTCAAACAGGACCTGCCCTTCATGAACCCATGCTGGCTAGGCCTGATCCCCCGGTCACCCTGCACATGCCGCATGATCTCCCTCAAGACAATCTGCTCCATAACCTTCCCTGGCACCGAGGTCAGGCTAACAGGCCTGTAGTTCCCCGGATCCTCCTTACGACCTTTCTTATAAATGGGAGTCACATTGGCAAGCCTCCAGTCTTCTGTAACCTCACCAGTCAACAAGGAGCGCTGACAGATGATGGAAAGCGGCTCGGCTCTCACCTCCGCCAGTTCCCTCAGCACTCTCGGGTGGATCTCATCTGGCCCCATCAACTTGTGACAGTCCAGCTGGAGCAGTAGGTCTCTGACTGTTTCTTTCAGAATCACAGGGGGGTTAGTGTGCTCCCCAGCCGAGATTACCAGGTCAGAGAGAGGAGTATCCTGAGGATAACTGGTCTGACTTTTAAAGACAGACGTAAAGAAGGCATTCAGAACCTCTGCCTTTTCCTTATCCTCAGTGGTCACATTCCCAGCCTCATCCAGCAAAGAGTGGATATTCTCCTTTGTCCTCCTCTTACTGTTAATGTATTTATAAAAGAGTTTTTTATTCCTTTTCACGCCAGTGGCTAGGTTTTAAAATTAGTATGTAAGATATTTCAATGAAAGAGTAAATTGATACAGTAAGAAACAATCCCTTCTAATGCTTATTGTTTATTGAAAAAGAAATGCCTTCCCTTATATATAATACAAGATAATTAAGACTGCTTTGGGCTAGCACTTAAGCTTACCAAAACTATTCCAGTCCTTTTCTTGCGCTACCAGTCTTATAAGCACCACTATTATTGCCATAACTGCCACTGCAGCTCATTTTACTGCTGCTGCAACTGTTATACTATAATTATCTGTCTTTCACCAATATATGATTTTTTTTCCCCCATATTATGTGGAAGTCCTCATGTTCCATGAATTAGGCATGAAATTATGAAATTTTCTGGCTAGAAGCAGACTCAGATATTGATGAAATATCTTCTCAAGTCACAGATTTAGATAGAATTTAACGTGGTGTAAAAAGAATGAAAAACCTCAAATTCAACAGAACATAACTGAAAATTTAGACTCCTAGGTATCTTATCTGTGACATACAATTTATCTAGCATGCCCAGGCGGGCAGAAGGGCCAACAGCATCCTGGCCTGCATTAGAAATGGTGTGGCCAGCAGGAGCAGGGAGGTGATCATCTCCCTCTACTCAGCACTGGTGAGGCCGCACTTCAAGTACTGTGTTCAGTTTTGAGCTCCTCACTACAGGAAAGACGTTGAAGCCCTGGAGCATGTCCAGAGAAGGACAACGAAACTGGTGAGGAGTCTGGAGCACAAGTGTTATGAAGAGCGGCTGAGGGAGCTGGAATTGTTCAGTCTGGAGGAGGCTCAGGGGAGACCTCATTGCACTCTACAACTTCCTGAATTGGGGTTGGGGTGAAAAATGGGTTTGGCCTCTTCTTCCAGGCAGCAAACAGGACCCGGGGAAATGGCTGCAATTTGTGCCAGAGGAGGCTTAGATTAGACATGAGGAAAAACTTTTTCTATCAGAGAGTGGTCAGGCACTGGAATGGCTGCCCCGGAAGGTGGTGGAGTCACTGTCCCTGGCAATGTTCAAGATGCGTCTGGATGAGGAGGTACAAGATATAGTTTAGTGCTTGTGGTAGCAATGGTGATGGCAGGGCAGTTGGACTAGATGATCTTATAGGTCATTTCCAACCTTGTGATTCTATGATTCTATAGATAATAACTAGTATGTTTTTACCTTTTTTTTCCCTTTCTCTCTGTGAGTAACAGTTTAAATTTGTCTAACATCAGGACAAGAACTGATTTAATAATTAAGACAATTCCATGTATTTTGTATTTCTTTATTAGAAAAGGTTTCAATGGAAGAAGTAAGGATTGTAAAGAAAAACGGAGAAGAATATTGCTGACATTCTAATAAAGTTAAATTTGTTTTTCCTCTAAACTATACTTAAAAAAATAAATAAATAAAAAATAAAAAATCCAGGAATTAATTGTAGTGACTCATGGACTTTGTTTCTGTTCATCTCTATGTGAAGAATTTCAGAATATATTTATAAAAACATGGATCAGTTCAAATAAAAAAAAAAAAAAAAAAAAAAAAAAAAGAATATTTAGATATTTCATTCAGTCTTCAAGGTAATTCTCAACTAGACTCAACTAAAAATAAAGTTGGTTTATCTATTACATAGTGTTTTGCATTATTTCCTTTTTCTTTTTTTCTCATCAGTCTCATGAGACTTTGATTCCTCTTTCTTACATATGTTCAGATCAATAAGAAACTGAATAAATGATCATTGACTGAAATAAATGTTTTGCTTATTCTCTGGTGGCATCTAAAAAAGTGATCCTGAACAAATTTTTGGGGTCTTTGTGTTTTATTTCAGATTCTCAGAAAGATAAGATTAGGGACTACAGACCAACTAAGTTCCATTCCAATTCCAATTTAGCAGAAATTACATAGAAACTTTTAAATGAGGGCTTAGTTAAGACAGACTTCATGCAAATATACTATGACCTAGTTGCAGCAACATCTGCAAAATTTTTCTGATGTACTTTTGACTTTTTTTTTTTTTTTTTCTTTTCCAAAAAGGTACAAGAAAGTTTGGATCTAATCTGGTCTGTGTGATCTGCCTTATCTCATCCAGAATACTGTGCAGCTTACCAGGTATTTCTAGGAGGATGAGAAACACACTTGATTTAGAATTAATTACAGTTGTAAAAATATTAAGCTGAAGAGATTAGTCCTATACTCCTCTTAAATATAAAGGCTTATGAAAGCATTATTCATATACATACCAGTATTTCACTGGCATGAGAAGTCGCCAAACCACTGATGGATTTCAATTACAGTGAAAAACAACAAGAACTAAAAATCCAGAAACAGAAAAAGAATGAAAACAGATGATAGGTGCAGGTATTCCAGTTGGTGCCCTGAAGTCATAAGAAGTAGTAAAAATGTGCAACAGATAGGCAGAACATAAGATGAGAATGTGTATAGGAAATATGTGTGTGTATGTTTCAGAAATAATTCTGTGGCAAGAATGTAGGGGCTATCAGATCTTGTTCCCATGGAAATTTAATTCAAGGTGTTTAGAAGACTAAGGCAAGGGATATAATAATATTAGGGACAAAAAAATGACAGGAGATAGAACTCTTTCTTTGGCTGACACAAATGCATATTGCTGGAAAAAATACCAGATGTTCATTCATAATGATCACTGCATAAATGGAATCATTCTTTTGGATACATATCTTTAACAAAATAGTGTGTTTAATAGAGATGATAATGCAGCACAGGATGTAAGATCTACTAGACTGACAAAGCACCTTATTGAGCTGCACAGGATGTGATGAACATTTATTTGGATTATGCTTACAGGTAGACCCAAAATGAAATCTCAGAAGTCAGTATCACCATCCCTAGCCTTGAATAAGTAAAGAGAAATTGATAGGAAATGTGTGTATGGTTTCTGTTAGGGACACTTTTCTGATACGTTTGTTTTCTCCTTCTAATAAAAAAAATAATATTAAAAAAAAAAAAAAAAAGGAAAAACAATTAAAAACTGTTTAAAAGATAAAAAATATAAAACATGTGAACATGCCACATATGAGTAGGGGAATGGAATCCTCTGCGATTTCAGAGTGAAATTCTGTGAACTACGGTTCAGAAACGTTATGTTTCTTTGGCACTTTTTTTCAGAAGCCCCTCAGTAGGAGTGTTGAAAAGCATTCTCCTTAGGACAGTCTTGGAACGGAAATCTCATAGGGTAGAATAGATTCATTTTATTCAATATAGAGTTCTAACACCAGTGTTTCAATTTTGTGAAAGAAATGCATAAGTCTTTAAAGGCAGAGACAGGCTAAAATCTTCTTTTATTAAAAAAAAAAAAAAAAAAAAGTCAAATCAACAGAAAAACCAAAGAACAACCATATCTCCAAACACATAAACAAACAAACAAAAGAAATCCTGTTTTGTTTAGGTACTGGGATTACTGCAAATTTAAAGTGTGTGAATATTACAAATAGATGTGGATTTTGTTTTTTTTGCTTCCCTTTAAACCTAGTTCACTCCAAAATAATGCCTCCTATTTATTTCCATGGAAACTATAGCAGATAGAAAGAAGACAGTAGCACTTTTTATAGAGCAAATTCTCAGCTACAGAATACTAATTTTAACACAGTAACCACCATTAGCTATGCATTTTTGTCAGCGATGAATAAGAGTCTGCATGCTGCGCTTGTAACAATCTGCACGGCAGTCTGGAATGTGGCTTGTCTTCCACACTGCTGTTGCCCTTTCTGAAATGCACCACCTACCGCATTAATAAGCACTGTGGGATCTCCATCAATGTTCAGAAAGCATTGATGACTGTCAGTGACTAATCATCACAGAAAATTACAGGAAAGTACTGCAGAATATTTTGGAAGTATTCTTTTAAGATTAGAATTGTCCAGGTGACCTGACCACTGCCATTTTTATAGAATCACTGAATGTCTTGGGTTGGAAGGAACCTTAAAGATCAAACACTTCCAATCCCCCTGCCTGGGCTGGATTGCCACCCACTAGATCAGGCTGCCCAGGTCCCCATTCAATTTGGCTTTTAATGCATCCAGATATGAGGCATCCACAATTTCAATGGGCAACCTTATGTTCATGTGCCTCACTGTCTTCTCAGAAAGAATTTCTTCCTAACATCTAACCTAAACCTCCCCTCTTTTAGTTTAAAGTAATTCCCAGCTTACCCTGTAATTCTTTGCCCATGTGAAAAGTTGGTCTCCCTCTTGTTTACAAGTTCCCTTTGAATACTGGAATGCCACAAAAATGTCTTCCTGGAGCTTTCTCTTGTCTAGCATTTCTTCACAGATGAGGTGCTTCAGACTTCTGATCTTCTTTGCAGCCCTCCTCTGGATCTGCTCTAATAGTTTCCTTTCTTTTTTTTGCTTTGGTACCTACGTTGGATACAATACTCCAGATGGGACATCACAAGGCCAGAGTAGAGTAGGACAATCACCTCCCTCATCCTCTGGCCACCTCTCTTTTGATGAAGTAAATCTGAATTAAATACTTATGCCCTCTTTTACCTTTATTTCTGGGTTGGGTGGTTTTTATTTTTATTTATTTTTATTTTTATTTTTATTTTTGTTGTTGTTGTTGTTGTTTTACATTTTATTTCAGGCCTTTGAGGAACACATAAGAGTAGAAGGAGTTTGGTCCTGTCTGGACCAGTGGGCAAAACTGAGTATGCTTTTCTGAGAAAGCAGGTAG